GCGGGTACCGGACCCACCGAGCCGGGTACCCGCGGCCCCCGAACCGCTGCGCTCCGGGAGCCTCAGGGGGAAGCCAGCACATCTCTCCTAGAGATGTGCTACACAATCCAGACATAATCTAATAAACTACTGTCATCACCCCACTGAAACCGTTTACCAAAACAATCCCACGTTATAAATTATGCGCGCACCTTTTGAGCATCACCTGCTGAGGTTTAGCTTGGTAAAATATCTGCCACAGTTCCACACAAATTTTCCAGTCTTCCTTAAAAGATAAAATTACAGCCCCCTTTTTAATTACGTCCCCAAATTAATTACTTTCAAACTTAACACATATGTTACAAAACTCACCTGTACCCATTTTTGATACTGTACTAGTATTACCACCAGTACCCTAATAGTTTCAACATCAACAGTTTAAATATAAATACTTGTAACACATTATTTTTCAAACTGAACCAATTAACTCAGCTGTCTACTCCTGCAAACAGATGCAGCTATTCCCTGATTAAGTACTCAGAACTTTTGTTTATTTTGTGCTTCCTAAAAATAAACCCAGTCACAGAAGTACAACATCAAAGTTATCTTACACAGACACTCTCTGCATCCTTTGACACTGAAACAGCAAATTTACATTCCAAAACACCAACCACAGAACAGCATCTGGGGCTATCTATCAGCCCAAGACGTGTCTTAAGGCTTTAACCAACCAAGTCATTAGAAACTACAGTGATTTAAGTCCTTCTAGTTCCATGGTAAACCAAAGGCAAAATTTTAATAAGCTGCTCCTGAGTTAACATCTTGTATTTTGAGTATTGCCTGGAGCGAATGTCCAAGTCTGAATGACAAGTCTGTAGCAATGTGAAGCAGCACAAACTGCAACACTGTAAGAGTGGTTTGCAGTAAGGGCATGTGATCGTTCCAAAGTCTTCTATCAGAGGATTTAAAAAAAAATAATTAAACTATCTCTGATCCCTCAGAATGGTAAATGGCTGCAACAACAGACTTAATGACTAAATTTATACCCTGAGCACAGCTTTAAGCCCCAGTTATCCATACCAGGGCAGAACAATAGGGAGCAATTTTTATTCCTCCTCTTCACACTCTTCCTGTGGGGGAGGAGGAGGAGGAGAGCAAACAGTGTGCACAGACATGGCAATGACCAGTATTTCTCCCACTTCTCCTTGGGACAGATCATGGTTGGCAGCAGAGATGTAAAGGGCCAAAACACCTTAAAATGGACATTAAGAAGCCCCAAAGGCACAAAATAAGCAAAGGTACAGCCTGACAAAGCAGACCACAGGAACTACGTGGTCAGTACATCCTGCTCCACACAGATTTAGGACTGGTAACTACTAAAGCTTCCAAATGTCACAGTAGCCATTGAGTCACCTTGGTCTCAGGTCCGCCGCAGCTGTGTGTGCCCAGCTCTGAAAACAAGCACTCCGTGTGTTTCAGGTCTGCTATGAGAAATCCAGGCTCTGCTGAGCAGGTAACAGGAAATCAATGGCAACCTCTGCTGGCTGGTTCTAGATGCAGGTAAAATGTGTTCTCTAAAGAAATTTTAACTAAGGGACAAAGTGGTTCAAAAGCAGGGAAGTTTGACTTCACTACCAAAAACCAAGCTGCCAGTGGATTTATCACCTCAGCCACCTGCTATAAACTGCACCATGCTGATGGCACTAAGTTGTACTGTTTTAGGTATATTTAAAGGCAAGTGAAAATTAAGCAGAAATCAGCTAGTCCTGATGAATCTGTAAAATTACAGAGGGAATTTTACAAAATGTAGCAATACCAGAATGTTTTATCAGAGGTGGTACGTTAAAAGCTCTATGAGAAAAGTTTTTTTATTTGGAGATTAGAGGCACATTTGGGCCTCTGGCACTGTTTTAAACAAAACCTGCTTCAGAATTTTTTTTTTTAAATTTGTGTTTTAATTGAAGGAAGTGAGAAAGAGAAAAGTTCTGTTGGAAGAATTACCTTACTGTCATCAAGGCAGCATCCTACATGGTCCACAAGTTCCCACAGCTGGTTAAATCCAGCTGGTGGACTAGGCACTCTTCAGGCTGAATAGAAGGAGCAATTCCACACCTTCTTTATATATTACATCAGCTAGAAACAACACAAGTCCCCATACAAAACAGAAGGCTCACACCATCTGATCCTGCTGAAAACAGAGGGGATGTGGTAGGAGCATAAGCTTTGTATATGCAAAGCAAGGCCGTGAAAGCAGTGGTGATATGTGACCCTGAAAGGAAACCAGATAAAGCTTCTCAGACAGTAGAAGTCCATATGGAAGGAGATTTAGAAGCTCCAAGCAAGGAAACAACCTATTTGTCATTCTGTTTGGAAAGGAATAGCAATATTTGTTTGCTAAATTCTTTGTTGTAAGGAAAGAGGACTGATAGAAGCAATCCCTGCAGTGCACAAAGCAGCATCTCAATCACACCAGTCATTTCTAGTTTGAAGTACTCCCTTGTTAAATTATTGGATGATCAGCTGGATTAAATGGACAACAATAATTTCTGTAAAATCTTTTTGAAAGGCATTGATGACAGCAAGGAGGTGCAGCTCAGTGCAGGATGAGGAGCACAGCAGTTATTTATTTAGATGCAGACCTGAATGACAGCGTTAATACAAATACCAGCTCATGAGCTTCTATTTTTTCCACCCAACTCCTTTTTTGTTGTTGTTTTTTTCTCAGTTTGCTTTATTTTTAATCTTAACTACCTCTAGCATTTACTTGTCCATGTATCTTATGGACACCCTGGTTTTGTTTTTAATGCCACCAGAATAATTCTACTCTGTAAAGCTTGCAATTTTAGTGCAGCTTAAAGTAGCAGAAGAGGAAGGAAATCTGTTGCCTTAAAAATTTTGTGTGTGTGTGCATAGATAGAGTTTTCTACATCATATTGGTGTTTGAAGTTGCTCTATGAAGTCATATTAGTGCTGTATTTAATGCAGAAATCTGTTCTATTTGTTATTTGGAATATAAAGCCTCTTCCCAAATCCACCCACTACAGCTGTCTATTTAAAACCTGCCAGAGAGCTCGCGCTTACACAGAACACACAGGGATTTTGACCTGAGTGCAGGCATATGATGAGATATAAGAAGTGCCTATATATTTATATAAATAAACCCTTTATTTTTTTTCTCAAAACAAGCTTAGGCTTCTCAAACCCCTTATACCCTGTGGATACTATCTGACTCCATGCCTTGCTCCAAAGGGAGAGGCCAAAGTTCTAAGTCAGATCTAACAGCAAATTTAAGTCACCTTCTGCTGGGTTCTGTATTCAGCTGAGCTGTGAACATCTCCAAGGATGGAGTTTTCACAGCCTGCTTGGGCCCCTGTTCCAATGTCTGACCACTCTCCCTGTGACTCCCACCATCAGCTCAGAATTTTTCTTGCTGTGCTTTGTCTTCATCCTCATCAAGACTAAACACAGCTGGGGCAGTGGTAAAAATCTAGACGTGTCAGTTCTGAAGGAAGCAGTATATTGTAGAAACTTTTAAACCATTCCTGAATCTGCTAGTCTCATTTTTCAGTTTTGCTATCAGAGACCAGTTCTTTTCCTTCTCTCTTCTACCCTATGATCCTAAAGAATGCCATAAATCAATTTACAGTGCTATGGCCCACATACCCTGCTGCAACAAAGATCAAGAGACACCAGGTACACAGCTGCAGTTCTGAAATGCAGATGCTCTTGTGAAGCTTTTACCTCTTGGCCACAGGCAAAAACCCAGCACAGGCCTTTTCTGCACTAGGGCAAAACTGGATTTGGTGGCAGCAGCAGAGTAGCTTCTCTAAGGTGGGGGAGAAGGAAGAGGCTGCTATAATTTGAAGTCACGGGTGGGAGCAGTTCAGGAGACTGGAAGGGGATAGTAGCCTTCATAAAAGCTCAAGAGATGTGAAGGGAGCTAATGATCCTTTTTACTACTGCTACTCCAGCAGGCTCAGGTTCAGCCTGATCCTCTGCTGGACTCAGTCCTTTTCCAGCACTGCTTCTAATGAGGCAAATATTAGCCAGTGTCACGTAAGTGTTAGGTAACTAGGATGCTGTGATGCAGAACAAGAAGAAATGGGAAAATAATTTTTTTTACATCAATCAGTAGAGAGAGATGGGCATTCACATTTGCAAGTTTATTATGCAGTCTTTTCATGCTGTTAAGCAACAATTACATCGAATGCTTCTAAAGTTTGAAACTTTCAAATTACTCCTAATATTATTCATGTATTTAATAAATATTAAGCAAGTTTTTGGAGTATATTGATACAATCTCCTTTTAAACTTTACTACCTGTGATCTCATGGATTATATTTCATAACATCACAGAATAGTTTGGGTTGGAAGGGATTTTAGATCATTTTGTTCCAACTCTCCCCACCATGGACAGGGGTGCCACCCAAAGATGCATACAGAGCAAATATTTTTCTGAATTTCATATAAAAGAATATTTTCTTTAAGGAGGAGCGTCCCTCAAGATGATACTGATGGTCCTACAACAAATTGAATCCACTTTACAAGCTCAATCCAGATGACAAATACCACCAAACTCCTGTGCCCTGAATCAATACAAATAAAACTGTGCAATAAGCTATCAATCAAGAAGTGAATTTACCTCAGGGAAATGCTGTGCAGCCAACTGAATGGTGATAATTAACAGTTTTCAGGAACCAAAGAGCATTTGCTTTAAACAGCACATGAACTACAGAAGGATGCTATTTACTGCCTGACCATATCTGATAAGAAGCACCAGGAAGAGTTCTTAGGATGATATGAAAACCAAAAAATTAAATATGGGCCCTCAGACAGTTTCATGCATGTGCCACTTACACTAAACCACCTGCTCTTACATTAGCAGCAGTTTAAAAAAGAAAAAGCATACTGGAAAAACAACACCAACTTACTATCTTTCATTGTTCCCATCTTTCAAGAGACCCAATTAATTATTTTAATTAATCAAAATATTAAATCAGGACAAAAGCAATTTAGAGAACTGTAAATGAAGAAATGCAGCAATGTAGAGAATAGTCTGCACAGTGCAGGTAGCATTGCCCTTTCTTTTCCTGTGGGAATAACTTTTTCATATTTCAAAGTAATACACAAGAGATTTTAGTGCTGCATTCATTCAAACCTTTTAGAGGTTTTTTGACATAATTGTACTTTCACTAATACTTTTGTCTGTGTCAAGCCAAGAATTACATTCCATAGATATTGGTATTCTAAAAGCATATTTCAAATGGGCACCAAGAAAGTGTATGTTGAAAGGGATTCCAGCTCTCCTGGCAGGAGTGTAATCTCAGTCAGTATTAGCAATAATTCCAATTCAGCAGAGCTAGACTAAGAAATTTCAAAGCTATTTAAAAAACATCCCAAACATTGTGATCGCCTGATTCAATTTTTCACACGCTGCAAGCCAGACAGTTTTCTTAAACTACAGCATGACCTTTTAAAAGGCAAGCAATTTTGATTTAATGAGTTCAACTGATGAATAATTTATTGCAGCATTAATTAGGCAGCCAACTTGTAAGGCCCATGCAAAAACAACTACTAAGAACACGAGGATCGAACCCACATACACCTGTCTTTCAAAATCAGAAGTTTGGATGTACCACAGAGTAGTTCCACTTCAGTCTAATTCTCTCTTCTTAGTATTCCAAGTACTCTCTCCTAGTAGTTCTGAGTGAACAGCCGGCTCTTATGTGACAAACTCACAGACACACAGCAAGAATAAATTCAAATCCACTCTCCATGGATGTGGCTTGGGTTAAACCATCACAGAACATCCTCCCAGAACATCCAGTCTAACCCACACAGGCTGGCTGGAAACACGTGCCTGGTGACACCAACCATTTATGTTTTACTTGATTACAGAATTGACATATTCCACCCTAAACTTTTCCTTTAATAGATGTCTTTAAAAATAGTTCTTCCTCAAGGACATGAGAGGTGGCTCAGAAAAGCACTGAACAATCAGGATCATTTGGGCGATGAAGTCACAGCTCCAACTGCTGGTATGGGCAGAATCAGTTCAGAACTAAAGAGCTGCTATTTGTTTTAGTGCAGGGTCTACTGGGGAGAAGGTGGTACCAAGCCCAAATCCCAGTAAATCCAATTCCACTGCTTCTTGAGAACAAAAAAGCTAAAAATAATCAAAGTAAATAGTGGATTTTTAAGAGTATTTTAAACTGTTACTCAGGATTACTATTCTACTACATTGTGAAGAAATAGGAAAGAGGAACATGAAAAGGATATGGCATGATAACTATTTATAACCTGAAGGGTGGCACAATTTCTTTTTATGGATTTTAAACTCAGCTTCATTTAGACCAAATCTTCCTCCCAGCTGGAAGTGCTGAAGAGGTATCACTTCTGTTCTCCTCCAGCATGGATCTATACACACTTGAATCAATATCCATATATGAGAGAGGACAAGGAATAGCTTCCTATTGAGAATCATCTACAGGGAAAATTTTGCCAATAACAGTGGAAGCACATTCCTGGGTAATTCACAGACATGGAATCCAGAAATGAGA